TGTACCCCCTCTGCTGGTTAATAACATATTTAAGTTGTCTATTAAGAAAAACTGAATTTCCTTTATGGCCTTTCATTAGCTGGCATATCAAAGTTTCCCTTCATTATATTTTTTCAGCTCATTTTCCTCTAGAGTGTATACTGAAGTTTTACTGTACAGATACTTGTATATAATCATGGGATAATACTGTTTTATTTGTTTCATTTTTCCGCTTCCATGTTTTACTTTGATATTCTAGACTGTGAACATTTCTTGTACTTACCTAGAGTACAGCAGACACTATTAAAGAACCATCTCATTCTAAGCTATATGGATCTCTCATGTATAAGATTAGCCTCTAACATTTGTTACATTGGAATAGAAAGTGTAGTATTTCATCCAAATTACTAAAACCATAAGAAGAGAATGTTTTCCTTATCTTTATTAGTTAATTTTTACATATAAAATAGGATTTCTTATTGACAGAAATGCAATAATCAGTCACCTGGCTTTGAGTAAGAAATACAAAAGCCACAAATCATTTATTAACTGTGATCGTTTCAGGCCATAAATGAATTTTGAAAAGGAATTTAAGATTTACATTTTCTTAAAACAATTATTTCCATGTGAAGGAATGTGGATGTTTTAACTTGCAGAACAACACTTTATAGAGCTTTATAGAAGTCTCTGGAACAATATTGGAAGAACTAAGATATCATTTCTTCTTATCTGTTTTTTCCTGTGCTCACATTTATATAGACACTATTACTTCCAGAATTTTACAAATATCAACATTATTTGTCCATTTTGAAGAAATCCTATAATCATAATTAGCTGTTCTCTGCACTTACTTAAGTGAAAATACCTTATAATTAGGAAGTTGTTAGGTGAGGTCCCACTGATTGGGCCTCCTTCAGGTCCCATCGGCCAGACAATGTCGGCTGGTGGGCCCTCAGGGAAGGGCCTTTTCTGTGGTGGCTCCGACCTGGTGGAATCAACTTCCCCCCGAGATTCGAACTACTCCCACCTTGCCGGCCTTTAAGAAAACCATTAAAACTCTCCTGTTCCAGCAGGCCTGGGATTGATGTCCCCAGGGGGGCCGGGATACGATTGGGACATGCTGTATGAATGCACTTATTTTATTGTTTTATTGTTATATTTATTGTTTTAATTTTGTACGCCGCCCTGAGTCCCTAGGGATTGGGCGGCATATAAATTTTATTAATAAATAATAAATAAATAAACTGTGAATCTGGGAGGGCTTTGTAAAGATTGTTATTGAATGCATCAAAATAAAACAACCAATCCCATGACTGAAATTCATATTGAAATTGATGCAGGCTAGTATGAAGAATAAGCAACTAAAACAGTGTAAGTAAAACAATGTAGCGTGACTTTTAAAGCAAGCCCGATAGCTCTGGCTAAAAGTGAACAAGAAATACATTTTTATATGGGTCAGTGAGCACCCAACTGCAAGATAGACTCTGGCTATATCAATGGGCAACAGGAGCAACTGATTTTTGATTTTATGAAAAAAAGCAAATAATTAAAACATTCACTGATACTGATTCACATAGTTTTGCTCACAGCTAGAGTAGATGTTTGAAAGGATTAGATAGGAAATGATTGTATATTTTCATTCAGACACTGATAGAATCCAATCTCCATTCCATAGTACAGTACATAAATAATAATGAAACTTTCCTGTACTTTTGCAAAATTTCAGCTTTTCAGAGCTCACAAACGGAAAGAATCATAAATATACAATATTATAATATGTACTGTTTTCTATTTTAAAGCATTTCATCATTTTAGTATGACTTCATGTATTTGATTTATAAATAAAACCAAAACACTAATATACTTTATAGATTCCAGTAAGAATGAATTTTAACTGAACATTTATTTTCTACATCCTTTATTCTTTGCTTGTAAATTAATGTTAGTTGAAATAATACAGAATTACGTCAGCTCTTTAAAATCAAAAGGACAATTAGTTTTTTTTTAAAAAATGAGATTGTAAAAATTAATACACTCAGTTAAAATAAATTATTAAGATTATAGAGGCATTCTTTTGTTTCTTGCAAAACTATTTCTAAAACATATGGTTTCATGGAAGGAATATTACAGAAGTTGGATATACCAGGCAACTAAAATGTCAATAATGTCTACTCTGCTTTAAATAATTTATTTGGTGTCTTATTCCTTATGGCAATTTGGTAGTGGGTTGTATATACTATGGAAATAATAAACTTCTAAATACACTATCATACATTTTGTAACATATATGTTTATCTACCAATCCTCACCTATTTGTATAGATTACATATCCATTATGTTATTCTCTTTCAGAAAAAAAACAACATTATGCACAGTGCAGATAATGGTTTTTTTAAAAAAAGATAGAAAAGAAAAGTAAAATCACAACATGCTATTCGATGCAGTTTCTATAAAGTAGTTAGTTTTGATTCTCCTTCCTGAATCATGTTAATATACTAATATAGAATAAATATATGTTTTAGAATCATTTTCCCCATCCTTAAGGAGTCAGCCTAAGTGTAAACTCTTGGAGCATGTCGTAAACTTATTCTGGACAAAATAAGATGAGTGGTTCTTTGAAAGCATCTGCAAAATTATATATACGTTATATAGAAATAAATTATGGAGGTAGAAGCAATATTTGCTCATGCATTCACTGATGCATTCTTTTGCCTACCAAGCTGCTAGTTCCTTCCAGCAATTTTTTTCCTCAAAAGCTAACATTGCAAAATGAATATCCAGCTTCAGTATCATCTTTATCTTCAAAAATGCATCTGCCCTAAAGTCCCATAGACATTTTTAGAAGTAGAATATTAAGTAGCGTCAGGCTTTATTTGGAAATGTTTCCATCTGACTATTTAACTCTGTAGGAGTGGACCAAGCCAGTGAGAAATATTAGGAACTGTCTTTCAGCCATAGCTGGAGGATCACAGAATTCCATTCTTGATCTATGTGTTTGATTTGAAAAATTATGTAATGGTAATTGGGCATACCAAGTTTTGCTTTCTTATCAATCAATAAAAGTTAACTTGAGTCTAGGCAAGTTGCCAACAAATGTTATTTGCCTTAAGATATTGGGAAGCCAAGCAATGAAAGGAATTGTCCCACTGCATATTAATTATTAACCTATCTGTTAGTTAGCCTTTTGTGATTGCAGCCATATCAGTTAAATAACAATTGGGTTAATCAAAATAGCTACCCAAAGTAATTTGTTGGAATATTTTATTATAATGACCATCAATCACACACAGAAAATACTGTAACAATTCCCTTGCTATTAAAAGCTACTTTAGTACTCCATTAATATATATTTAAAGATCACTCCATTTTCAGAGTTTTATATTTGCTATTGAATAGGAAGAATATTTTCAGTCATTCATCTAATTATTGATAAGTTTTCTTTATTTAAATTGTCCCAGATATTTGCAACAATTCCATGCATCAATTTAACTTTTTTAAACAATTTCTTTTGTCTTTTTAAAAGAAAATTTGTTTGATTTAATGTAATTGCATGGTATATGTGTTATTCATATTTGAAGAAGTTATATTGGATCTACAAAAGCAGTTATTTAAAACCTCAATCAATGTTGACCCTGGCCATATTTAAAGATTATCCTAGATTTCTATATGATAGATCAAAGAGCTACTATCTATTATGGGAAGTGATTGAAAATTATGCAAGCTTAAAGAAATGCTGATCACATTACCAGCCTCTACTATGCCTCAGCAATGAAGCAGAGAAGGGTTTTCTTGTATGGAAAGTGGGATGCACATACTTGTGTGGACAGCTGGAATAGGCTGAGGCCATGTGAAACAGCAGAAGGCTACCTGCCTCTTCTGCATCAAGTTGAACATATATCTTGTACGAGTCCCACATTACTTTTAGGGAGATTTTTTTCTCTCTAGCTCTGAATTTGATTTAGTACTTTGGGTTTAAAAAAATAAGTTGGAGAGGAACAAGAGGAGAGGAGAACACCTCTTCTGATGAAAGGAATCTATGGTAGGAGAGCTCTTTGGGGCCAAGAGATTATTTTTTCAACCAGAAGGATTTGTTTCCCTTGCTTTCCAGATCTAAGGATGGCAAAAGAAGTTGTGGAACAATAGTTTTTCTTCCAACTTTCTGATCCTACTCAGTGGTCATTCTAGAACCAAAGGAGGTATTTTGCTGCCATGTCCTGTTTTTCCTGTCACCCATGGACTGGGGGAGGGGAAGTGAAGAGATCTTTCTTCCTCTTTATTCCCCACTATTTCTCTTGACATGGGGGAGAAGAGGGGCACAGGTCTTATACTCTCAGTTATCTCATCCCATAGGATCACTCCGTAGCATCAGAGACCTGGCAGGTCTTCTTGCATGACTGAAGGGGAGAGAAGAGGTGCCAATTCTCTCAACACCAAAAATATTTGTTTTCTTCTACAGTGTGGTGGTGGTGGGGAGAATACCATTTTCCTCATTACTTAACTACAAACGCTGCTGCCAAATGCATCTTCTGACATACCCTTTGATGAAGCTCGCTGTGGATTCACTATGTCATTGCCAGCAATAGTAGCTCACCACTGTAGGAAGGAGTTGCGTAATTGGAATATGGCTACAGAAAAGTTCTCACCCAATTCTATAAGTGGTAGCATCTATAAAGAGAACTTACAGTGCAATTGTATATTCTGAATGGATTTGTATGGGAATTTTTTTTTTCAAATACTCTGATCCCAAAACCTTAATTTCACTGGAATTTTAGTTTGCATTATCATGAATTTGTAACCAAAATGAAATATTTAAAACTGATTATAACGCTTGAAAGTTTCTACAGTTCCAAAAAACTCAAAGGGCAGACTCAATAGACCATTGGGTCTTTTTCTGCCATCAGTTTCCTATGTTTCTGTGTTTGCATTTATGCTAAATTTCTGAACTAGATGTAGTTTGGCATGTACATTTGAGTATTTATAGGATGAAGTAACCGTTTTTCCATTTCTTTTTTCTCTCACAGTTGATTGGTTTTGTTTATGCCTGTTATGTGATTAGTGTTTTTATGGAAGAAGAGGACAGCAGTAAATACTGATATACACCTACCGATTTCTGGAGTCACAACTTTGGGGTGAGACATAATATTGCTCTTGGAAATGGAAAGGTATATTTAAAAAAAAGAACAACATTCTTGTCTTGGGACAAATATCTTTCTTTTCATTCTGCCCTTATAATATGGTCAATACATATCAATAAGATTAAGTATTTTCATTATTTTTATTTGCTGTTCCAATTCAGGTTATGTTAATGATTTATTCCATTTTTAACTTTATGTGATATACATTGTTGTATTTCATTTTATTTCCTATGAAAGCTTCCTTGAAAGAGTGATATACATTCTAAAAGGTACTTTGAAATTGGGTCCCCAACCCCTGGACCAATAGTACTGGTCCATGGTCTGTTAGGAACCAGGCCACACAGTTGAAGGTGAGTGGCAGGTGAGAGAGTGAAACCAAAACCATCCTTCCCCCTCCCAGTCTGTGGAAAAATTGTCTTCCATGAAACCAGTCCCTGGTGCCAAAAAGGTTGTGGACCACTACTTTAAAATATAACATATAAAATATAAATATAGCAAATCACAGCTGAAGTAATCTTGGGTGGATATAATTTACCATTAGTGTTAGGCATGGTAGCTTGATGGACAATTCTACTTTTACTGCAGCAGTAATTTCTGAAATATAACTTAATACTGGTATACGTATCAAAACTATTGTGCAGTTGTTCTCTGTTTTCCTGTCCAATTTGTGGTGCATTTTATTGGTTCTGAAAAGATGAGATGTCTGACAGATAATGCCAAGGTTTTTTTTTAAAGGGACAAAAACAATTTGAATAGATAATTTTCTTATGATGGTACCAGTTTCTTTTTTTCTCTTCTACTCTATTTATTTTACAATTCAGCCTGATTCTTGAAAAATAATATTGTTTTGTTACATTCTTCATACCTTGTTAATTTCTATGTTGTTAATGTCTATAACAGTGACACCGAGTACCCAAACTGCAACCCAAAACCCACTTACGCATCATCGGGTGCCGGGTGGGTGTGGCCCATTGGCTGGGCGTGGCTATGGTAGTAATGGCAGACTGGGTGGGACTAAAAGGTTCAATCAATCAATTCCAACTTTGCAAGATTTTTTTTTCCCACAAAAAGTTGAAATTGACTGATTGATTGAACCTTTTTTTTGGCACACGGCAGTGGAGGCCTAAAGCAAAAAGGTTTTATAAAACCCAGCTGAAGGCCTAGGACTGGGGCAATGCCGTGCGTGCCCACAGAGAGGGTTCTGAATGCCGTGCCATAGTTCACCACCACTGGTCTATAACTTTGAACAATATGTATTTTTGTATACATACATATGTACAGTACACACACACACACACACACACACACACACACACACACAACTTTGTTTTGAAAACCATGGACAACCATGGATGTTTTATATATATAATAACCTCTGTTTAATTCAGCCTAAAGTAAACCTGCAGTTATTGGCCTTTAATATTTCATGAAGTGAAATATATTTGCATAATTTTTAACTTCTTGGACTGAAATCTGCCAGGAAGGCTTAAAAAGTAATAACCATCACTTCTTCTCAAGGTATTGATCATTCAATGAATATATTTCAAAGAGCAATAAACATATAAAGAAATATTCTATCAAGCTATTGTTTTTCTGGCTTTTGAAAAGTGAGGTTTTAGTAGGAAAGGCAAGAGACTGTTGCCATATGATCCCAGCTGCTTTCATGAATTGCTGAAAGATATTAGATTTGCACTCGCCTATCACTCCAAATCAGATTTTTGGAATAAAATTCAAAAACTTCAGACTGAAGTTCAAAGTGCTTAACTTTATTTTTAAGAAATATAGCAAAGCCAACGCATTTCCAAACATCATTTTCTGCCTTTTTGTTTATTGCAGGTAGGTTGTTATTATTTAATAAATTTATTCAACCTAGTATCATTAACTTCTTTCTGTTTCCAGCACGCAAGAATGTGATCTTAACCATACAGCCTTGTTTTTCATTCAGCAATCTCAGTCAGACAGTATTTACATCATGCACAGCTGTGTATGAAATAGAATAGATTATCAAGTTAATAAATCAGATCCTATATCCTAACCATAAATTATTTTAATTATATACTTGGGGTTTGCTTTATATTTCCAACCTATTTAAAAAAAACATTTAAAAATGTGTTTAAACAAATGAAATTAGTTTATTATTCTGAGTATATTAGTTTTGTGGCGATGGGAATATTGCTGTTTAGAAGGTTTTAAAATTCTAAATGAGAAACCCCCTCCCCCTTTATGGAAGAAAGGGAGATATTAGGATATTGTGGTTAAGGTGTTGAATTAAGCCTGGGAATATTCTTGTACAAGCTGAGCCTCAACCATGCAAATTCCATGGGATCATTTGGAACTAGTTACTCTGTCTTACAGAGTTATTCCCATATAAATTGCCTTAAGTTCCTAGAGGAAATAACAAGTTATAATTAATAATAAATATGAGATAGGGAAAGGATACAGCTGATTTACAGAGAATGTTTATCTGTAACATCTTTTCCTGCTTTGAATATTTGGAACTGACAGAAATTGAGTTGCCTGGAATAATCTCAATATAAATGTCAGGAAAGAGAAAAGGCGCTATTGTATTTTATCAAGGACACAAGACAATTTCCCTTAAAAAAAACATCATGAATGTGTGTGTGTATAAAATAAAAATGGCTCTTTCATAAAGAATAAAACTAAAATTTCATAACAAGATAGAAGAAATAATTTTTTAAAAATTAGATATATATTTTCCTAATATGTATCTAATTTTATACATACATATAGAAGACTCTTGATTGCCACCATAGTTGAATGTATCTGTAACCAGTAACAGTTTTAATTACTATAATAATTACAGTGCTAATTATTATATTATGGTTCCATTGGAGAAACTACTAGGCACTACATAAAAATGTAAAAGGCAGTAAAATTTAAAAGGAATATGGACACAAGCATTAGTTGACTCATTATATCCTTCTAATGAATAAATGGAAATATTTAGACTAGCCACCATCCTTCAAGATGTTAAGAGTTACAAGAAATAGCCAGAAATCCATAGCCTATGCTACTCGTTTTTTTCAGCAATCTCCTTCCAAGAAAGGATCCTGTATTTGAACTTTATGCATTTATCAGCTAATTTCTTTTTTTAAAAAATGTTTATGTTTACAACATTTGATAATTGCTGTGTAACAGCAGTTTTAAAGGTAATGTACAATAATAGTCACAGATAAAGATGCATACTAAACAAGCCAATAAAACAGAAGTTGCTAAAAACATCAGAGCAGTAAGAAAAGCAATTGCAACTTCACACAATAGCAGAAAATGCAGATAATGTTAAAAATCAAATAAAATTAAAAAGCCTGAAGAAGGGACAGAGGGTAAGATGAAACTCATTGCCAATTATTGTATTTTCCAGGTATAGGGTCTCCTTCCACTCCCAAGCATTTCTTCACTTTTTCAGACCATATTCCAGTAGAAACCATCAGATAATGTAACAGCTGCTCTGAATACCATAAAACTACACAGCAGTTGACCAGTAGAAAATATATCATATTGCACAGTCAGCAAAGAGTTAAAGGATGCTACATTTCTTGTGGGATAAACTTCAGTAAACTAGATGTAATGGTTGAGACAGCTTCTTTGTTTAGAAAAACTTGGAAAAATATGACTTGACCAAGATTCAGATTTTACAGACTGATAAACCGAAAGGGATACAAAATTACTGGAGAAATGGTTGCTAAGGCTACATTAACCTGACCTACCCCCATGGAAGCATATCTTGTCAAGAAATGCAAATAAATTGCAAAAAACTATGTAACAGACACCTTCTGAAAATAGCCTTGTGGGAGATCTTAAGCTGCCAAGACAGTTCCTTATGACTCACATTTTTAATGACAATGTTTAGTAATAGCTAGCTCTTCCTGCTACCATTTTAATTGGTAGAACTTTTTGATGGGGATCTAGGGGCAGAGTAGGCATGTACAGCTTTTGGAGGTGAGGGTTGCAATTGACTAAGTCTGGAGTCTGGTCCAACAAGTCAGTGTGACTTAAATAAATGATCAAGAACAGGTCAAAAGCTGAATATAAGACTTGGGAATCATATGCATGTCTAAGACCCAATTCTTACCATTTATTACCTTTCATAATAAAAAAATGAAATATTCTATAAAGGAATCAGAAGTACTGTTTTATGTATACTAGCCCCTATGATTGTAATGTGGCTTATATATATATTTACCAAATAAGACCAAGTCCACACATCAAAAGCTAAGTATTTATGCTTTATATAAAGAAACCTGTATCCTTTGTTTGTCCAAACAGAGATTATCTTACATTAAATTGACAATATTGGGAGTTATTTTTCTTTATGATCATTATTATTTTGGATGGGCCATCACTTCAGAGAATGTGATAAAATGGAACTAGGTGGGACTAGCAATCCATGCTTTTGGAGGTCAGATAATCAAAACTTTATGTATGTACTTAAAGCATAAACATATTTTTTAAAATATGGGCTGATTAACAGAGGGATAGAATCAAGATCACATGAAGTATTAATACCACTTTACAATGCCTTGGTAAGGCCACACTTGGAATACTGCATCCAGTTTTGGTCACCATGATGTAAAAAAGATGTTGAGACTCTAGAAAGAGTACAGAGAAGAGCAACAAAGATGATTAGAGGTCTGGAGGCTAAAACATATAAGGAACAGTTGCTGGAATTGGGTCTAGTTTAATGAAGAGAAGAACAAGGGGGGACATAATAGCAGTGTTCCAATGTCTCAGGGGCTGCCACAAAGAAGAGGGAGCCAAGCTATTCTCCAAAGCGCCTGAAGGCAGGACAAGAAGCAACGGATGGAAACTAATCAAGGAGAGAAGCAACCTAGAACTAAGGAGAAACTTCCTGACAGTTAGAACAATTAACAGTGGAACAACCTGCCTCCAGAAGCGGTGAATGCTCCAACACTGGAAGTTTTTAAGAAGAGACTGGACAGCCATTTGTCCGAAATGGTGTAGGGTTTCCTGCCTGAGCAGAGGGTTGGACTAGATTACCTCCAAGGTCCCTTCCAACTTTATTATTATTATTATTATTATTATTATTATTATTATTATTATTATTATTATTATTACTACTACTACTACTACTATTACTATTATTATTATCTATCAAAATCAAAGGGGAATTCATTTCTCAACAGTTGTTCATCAAACTTTGACACAAAAATAGCTAATAGCTGTAACGAATGAGTTCAATAACTCTTTTGTAATAGGCCTGTATGAAATGAACATGTTCTGCAGTTACCTCACAGAAGTGCAGCAACTTGCTCTATCTTGACAGTTCAATTGGAAGCAACAAGGCAGGAGCAATTTGCTTCATTTAGCCATCTTCAAGAATGCATAAATGTGAAAGTTGCTTGACTGAAATGGCTCAATCATTTCTGGTGCTTTGGAAATGAGAACGACAGACAGTTTCTCTTCACTGAGCTTTTCAAAGGGTTCATTGATCAAAACTATGTCAAAACTAGATGCACCTTTGAAGCTTTGCACAAGCATAGTTTGTGCCCCCTGGTCTACATTGCCCACTTCTTGTGTTATCTGTTTGGATTTTACAGAATGAAGGAACAGTCAAAATTAAAATTCTGGTTACATTCCAAACTTATTTATACTATACTTATTTATACTTATATAGAATTAATGAAGTAAAAATGGAAATATTAGACCTTTGTAATATTTATAACAGTTAAAACATTTAGATGGTTATGACTTTAAAACTATCTTTCCTTGTAACCCTCTAGCTAGCTTACTAGCTATCCTTGGAAACCAAGGGCAGTTTGTCTTGTAGAATGTTAGAGTTTATGTGGGAGAGCTGTTGCTTAGATACAAAACATTTTAGCTTTAATACGTAGTGTTTCCATTCTAAACTGAATAAAAAACAGAAAATGTAAAATACCTCTGCCTCACACCCAAGTCAGCTACTACATTCGTTTCTAGTCAGAAAAATATTTGGGGTTTAGATGAAGAAACTGAACTGGTTTAAGATAGTCTCCTAGGTGTTTGTCATGGCAGAATACCTTGAGAGACGTACAACACACAGGCAACTTGTTCTAAGGCCCTTACATCCCTATGCAGTTCTAGAATACTAATGGACCCTAAAGAAGAAAGAATTTCAATGATCAAGATAAAAAAAAAATTAAGAGCCAAGCTGCAGAAAACAATTATCTATGCTATCCACCAATTTCTTGATGCTTATTTGTCTTATTTGTGGTAGTCTGCCTACTTGGCTTTACAATAAGATAATTGGTATCAGTATCTGATGCAAATGGACCAGGACAGTTGCTGTTTTCAAAAATAATGGGCCTTTTATAACCTAAACTGTGAAAAGCCCAACTGTCTTTGAGCTAAAAGCTAGAAGAGAAAAAAACTATGTTTACTATCTTTCATGGATGCCATGGCCTGGCTGAAGACATATCTTCAGATACATTTGACGACAAGCAAGAATCAAAGTGACCAAAAGCTTAGTTGCTCTCCTGCCAGAACTTATAGTTGAGTAAGCCAACCTAGCATTTCTGCAGCCTGCAACTTTGACTTTGTACTTTTCAGAGAACTAGGTGGTTTAACTTCCAGATCAGGGTCTTAACCAGATTGAGGAGTCCTTTGAATAGAAAGCTCTAGTAAGACAGGAATTGGTTTCACAGTGTTAGCCACATACCTTTTTGGCCCAATGCAAAAAAATATTAAACTAATCATGGAGTACTCCAAACTAACAATAGCATTGCTCTATTAATCCAAAACAGGCATTAGATTGCTTTCAAAAATGGTCTTATCCTCATACTCCTCTATACATGGGAGAAATGTTTCCCAGCAAAGTTTTAGGGGTGTCAAGTTGCCTTTGTCTCATCTCTATCTCACAGCTAAAGCAGTTTAAAGGTGCCTTCAATTATTCCAATTTAATGCCTTCAATTTATAGCACTATAACCCTAACATGTTTTTTGCTATAGATGTAATCAAACATGCTTCATTAACAGTGTGTGCAATGAACAGTGAGAGGGCTGAGATCTGCCCAGTTTCTACTGGCTTCTTTCTGTTGTGTGCATGGTCCTCCCTCCATGGCCATTTAAGACCAGACCAGATATACAGTTCCTCAGAATGCACCAGCCTGCATAATAAGTTATGAAGCAGCCATAACCAAAGATAAAGCAGATACATAAGCAGATAGGATAACCGGCCAGAAATCTTGTTGATCCCTTCATAGAGTTGATAAGAAGGAAACAAATAATTAAGGAAATCCAAAGGAAAATGTCATCTGAAGTAGATAAAGGAATTGAGCCTGAGCACATGGAAACCCCACCCCCAATCCCATCAACAACTACCAGTCCCTTAAATTGACAAGGCAAGAATAGTTGCCAGTGTTATGAACCAACAAAGCAAGGGGTGGGCATAAGCATCAATTCCCTCATTCCCCAAAGCCATTCATTCATTCCATTACATCTGGTTTTTGTTTATGTACTGTTATTATTGCATCATCAGATTATGTTTAGGTAGAAAAGGAAATGAAACCCAGAAAACCCACCATTCTGTTTTCTTCCCTTGTTCTGCATTATAACAGCAGTCATCAGTCTCATTGCAGGGTCAGGATAGGGGCCCAGTAAATGGGACCAGTGCAAAAGGATGGCATAATTTTCTGCTAGCTCACAGCCGAGAAGAAAATATTTTGGCTGTGCTATTTGAATGTGCCCAGTATTCAGACATTACAAAACCTAGTAGTCTGTTTGAGCAAGGAAAGAATATTAAAGACTTCAAAAAAATATATTATCAAACAAGATATTTGGTAACATTTGTCAAAATGTGATTGGCAGAATCAGTGGAAACTTCCTTCCCAACCTTTTATTCTCAGGTAACATGTATGCTCTCATTTCAGGCCAAAAGAAGGAACCGGCACTGATGCCATGCTTATGTTTAGCAGTGTTATGAGAAGGAACCAGGCTTTGCAACAAAAGCCCAATTGTGCAAGACCGTCTCACTGAAGAAACTCAACTTTGTTATGTTCAACCTGGACTATGGATTCCTCTCTTGACATGTGGCTGCACTTCTCAGTCACCACCTCGGATTCCTTATTAGTGTTGTAAATGAATCCTTCTTATATAATCTTGAATTTTTCTTTACTCACTTTTATGACAACTTGTACAATGTAACTTTTTCCTTTTTGAAGTTTTTAAAAACAAAGTAGTGTTTATGGCATGAAAACAGTGGAGCGTGTGAAAGAGTCCTCTTTTTCCAGAATTTTACCATAGTTTTGGAGTAAGACAACTGTACTGTATTTGCATGTACTAGAAATTATTTGCCATACACAGAAACACACACACACACACACATACACACACACACTTCCCACAAAAGCTTTCAGCTCTGATGAAATGAGCAGGAGAGAAGGAAAGAATGATAAAACTGGGACACAAACATCCAACTAAATTAAACACTAGCCTTTTCTATAGAATCCCAATTACAGACATATTGTAGGAATTGATCAGTAAAAGTGGTTTTCCAATTGTTACAGTGATCAACATCATTGAGCTCAAGTCTATGCATGATTGGTCCAATGTAAGCCTCACTTAGTTGAATTGTATTTTTTTCCAATGACAACTGCATAAGGTTTACAAGACAATTTGCATATGGCTGCTTCTTCCATTTGTCTTTCTGATTCCAAGATGCATTCCTTGTAGCTGTTGTAACTAACAGCGAATTATTTCATTCTTCAAAATTCAGGGGAGATGTGTGTAATTTGCACATTTTTTTAAAAAAAAAAATCTCCTTACAAGGAGCCAAACATGAATGTGTACAAGACTGGAATCAAGGGGAGGCACCAACTACAGCCTTATAAGCCTCTGAAAATTCATGATGGCCTTAATGTAAAAGTGAACAGAAGGCATTCATTATGAAGATATGTACAAAACAGTGTAAATTGATCTGTAAATAACTTTAGAATATGTATTAATGTGGCATTTTGATTTCTTCCAATTGTATAAAAAGGGAGACATAAAAGTGATTTTTCTGTGGATATTCAGTGCTCTATGAATTAGACCTTTGTTCTTCATCCTTTTCTGGATACTATATGAAACAAAACCTAGTCTTTATGCTGTACAAAATCATCCTGTCTCATGGTGTAGTCATTTTGTTTCTCTGGTTCACCCTTGTGCTCAGTTTGGGAAAGAATACTGAACCATTCTGATCCTTTTGTGGCATTTATATATGATTTTTGCAGTTCTTTATTTCGGAAGCTAGTTAGGATGTAACATTTCTTATCCACAATATGATTACTTATATTATTCCCTAAAATGTGGGTGGCCCATGTGGCAATCTCCAGATTTTGCTCATTTGCTACTCCATTCTGCTGTATTGGGTTTCTGTATAACATTAAACTAAGAGAAATTGCCTTCACATTCTCTTTAAACCAACCAAAAAAGTAGATTGAGGGAAACTTCTTGTATTATTTTTAAAATACAACTGTAATAGATCACAGATATATGCTGTACCTAGATAACAGCAAACTGTCATTTTACAACTTTATAAGTCAAATATATTTACAATGCAAACTTAATCATGGTTTGTTCAATTCAATTGGGCAGGATTCTTATGATACCTTGAGTCATAGCCATACTATATAAATTATGTTCAAACAACATGCTAAGCTTAAAAACAGTGCCTAGCTTGTGGTCCTTTGTGGTGTTCTCTATACTGTTTTCTTAAGAATATTCATATAAAGTATTTCCAGGAAACACATTTTTTTACAAAAGAAATACTTACGTATTCTTTATTTATGTCCTTTTATAAAGCAAGATTCAAATGATCTGTTGACAACTTGACTTCCTGGTAATTTTACATTCTGGAAGCTCTTGTCGTTCAGTGAGGAAGCTTTCTTCATCCTATGTTCACTTACTCTTCAGCAATATTGTTGTCTGTTTGGTATAAAGTGCAGCTGGCACTGCCAGAAAGAAATTACCAAAAAAGTAAAAAAAAAAAAATAGTTCTTAAACGTGTGGAAAGTATTACGGTTTTAGATATAAGTTTTAGGAAGAGGTGCTTTACAGCATGCATTGACACGAGCAAAGCACTTTGAACTGCATGCCAAGGTGCTGTACCTCAAGATTCAACACAGCTGCTTTAATGGCTATCCTGCATCAACTTTTAATGCATGTGTTCATCTAGCAACTTCACTAGCATTATTGTTTTTATATGTAGAAGAATTGTGAAGCATCACTTCAAATGCTTTAGCACTTCTAGAAAACATAATTACTAGGGAAAACAGAGTTTGTGACTCTCTTTAACTGAACTGCAGAGTCTCCTGATGTTTCAGTTTGATTCTTTTCATCTGCAGTAACTGGAATAAGACTCTTAACTCTATTCTGCATATCCTGTATCAGGCCAAAAAGGAATCCCTAAAGATATGGTTGTATGAATTTTAGTCTCTGGGGCCTTTACTATAACCTCAAAGGTGTGAACCAATGAGTAAACATAAAGCCATAATTGCAGAGTAATTATTGGAGAGATGGTCGCCTTTTTTGTATTTCTTTTAATTCTTTCATCTCATCTAATGGTTATTGGGAATTTTGCATTCCATATATAGTCACCTTAACTGTACATCTTGACATCACAGTTTTTGAACAATACTTTCCAATCTTTAATTTTTTCAGACTACTACTTTGTCACTAAAGTCTTTTTAGGACCATTGTATAAACTAGCGGTAGGATTACTGCATTCTTCGTGTGGTTCTGCCTCATTCCAAAGTTAAAAGTGAATGTTAAAAAATGATCAGAATCTCACAGGATTCCAAATTTCATAAGGTACTTGTGTAGTCATTAGAAATCTAGCAAAACTTTAGGTGAGCATGTTAAACGCATGGGCCAATTTGTGATATCAAGATATTTTGGCCATTTAAAATTATATTTTAGTTTGATATACCCTGTAGAGACTGCTTCCATTTCTTGTGAGTTGTCCATACTGTACACCATGGAGAGAAACCACTCTGTAGACCAAGTATGCAGAATATTGTGGGTCAGTGAGCACATTTAAATTTATTTATGTTTGTTTGTTTGTTTGTTTGTTTAATCCCGTGTTTATTTTATAAATAACTCAAGGTGGCAAACATACCTAATACTCCTTCCTATTTTCCCCACAACAACCCTGTGAAGTGGGTTGGGCTGAGAGAGAGTGACTGGTCCAAAATCACCAAGTCAGCTTTCATACCTAAGGTTGGATTTAGAACTATAATCTCTTGGTTCCTCACCTATCCTCACCTTAACTGCTAGACCACAAAATATTCATAATTGGGAAAGCAAACTACTGGTCTGTGTACAACAAGCCATGATTTTATTTTCTAAAAAAGGCTCTGCAGTCTATTTCAAACTCAGAATCATATTTGGAAAGGCAATTCGCATTTGCAATTTTTAAATTAAAAGCATGATTAAAACAAAAAAAAGTAAACACAATAGAACACGCTACTGAAACATCATTGTCCTTTTGTATAGTATTGGGGACTCAAGATCTACCAGTAGATTGTTGGGTGTAATTTCGTTGACTTCATTTGGGATATTGGGTTGTCATTGAAATGGCAGGAATTGCATCTTAGTAAAGGGGGTTCAGGATGACATCAAAATAACTTCCTATACATTCTCATCTCTATTTTATTCATTTTTTGTTTGCAATAATTATGGGCAATGTTCTTAAGTAATTCACTCCATTCCAGTATTTAATATCAATTTTCTCTCTATGAGACATGGGAATAACTGTGATATTATTCAAATAGCATAGTGGGAGCCCTATTGTCTTCATCTTTAGAGAGAATGGAATTATTTAATATTTCAGGTATACAGTTATGAACAGTAATAAGAAAGCTAAGACTTATAATGCATAAAAAATTCATGCTGTAGATTTGTGCAGTTGTCCAACTGTGCAATGAATAAGCAAGAGGAAATAGCCTGCAGTCTTTGTTTTATTTTTAAGTATGTATGGGAAGGTGGGAAATAAAAGCCAAAGGCAATAAATAAAAAGAATAGTACAGATTTTGTTAGCATCCTTTGGTGTAGCTATTTTCTTCAGGTTCTATGTTAGTTTGGGCTGAACAGGATTAGGGTCAGCACGATTATAACATAACTGTTTCTACCTACCCCTCTTCCAACTATCACCATCTTCTAATTTGTTATTGATTTAATTACTGGGTTTTGTTTTTTTATTTGTACATTGTTCTGAGCTGTAGTGAGTTGGCAGCCTTACACATGTAAATTATAAATAAAATAAATTATAGATTCCATAGAAAGACATTACATGAGCAAAAATGATCCCGAATTCTAAACTTGAAAGTACAACAATGCTCATCATATAAGATCCCTGGCATTTAATGCTCACAATCTGGAACAGAAAATCACATTTAGTGAAAAAGCAACTTAAAACTGTTAATCTGTGTGAAATATTACACAACATCACATTCTAGAAGTATATAAGTTAATTAAGTTCTAATGACTAATAGGAAAATTATTCTTCTTACTTTGTTTCAGGCGAAATTGGGGCAGGGCAGAAGCTTTGAACTTTGTATACAGGTGGTCCTCAACTTACAACCGTTTTTTTAGCAACTGTTTGAACTTACAACAGCACTGGGAAAAACCATATAATCAATCCTCACATTTACAACTTTGGCAGCATTCTGATAATTGTGTGATCAAAATCAGGGCAAATTGCATGTATTTACAATAGTGAACACATGTCCTGGGATCACGTGATCACCATTTGCAACCTTCCAGGCCAGCTTTTGATAAGCAAAGTCAATGGAGGAAGTGTCATGCCTCCATTCGAGCCTGACTCCAAGGAAGACATGGAGTTCCCTGTTGAGGCCCAGGAGGGGGTGTCTGGGGCTTCGGAGGACTTTAGGGAGGAGCAAGGCCCCTCTCCACCTGATCCTAGAGCAAGGAGAGCAGAGAGGAGGAGAGAACAATGGAGGCAGGCTCATTTGCTCGGGAGGAGAGCATCCCACCCCACTCCACAAGGCACACCTGGGGATTAGGATTTAAGGAGACACTGTGGGGTGGGGCATTTGCCGGGAACAAACGTGGGATCTTGAGATTGTTCTGACGTGTGCTCTTGTAACCTGGACACTTTGTATTCTGGACCAGTTTGTTTCCTGATTCACGACCACAGACTACATTCCTGATCTCTTCTTGCAGTCTGCAGTTTGCAGTTAGCAGTTCGTAGGCAAGCTGAGAGTTAAAAGGACTCTTTACATTTTCTTGTTACCTGTCTTGCCTTGAGAACAGTGTAAACTTCCCTGGCTGTATTGTTTGAACTCGTGCCAGCATATTAAGGGGCTTTTGGGTGAACATTGGCAGTGATTAAAAAGACTATTGTTCTTGTCAGCTGATTGCTTTGCCTCCGTTCGGGGTCCTGGGTCATCACAGGAAGCATGATTCACTTAATAACTGAAATAATTTGCTTAACAACTGTGTGCAAAAAAATGTAAAATCGGGGATGACTCATTTAACAACACTCTTTCTTGGCAATGGAAATTCTACTCCCAGTTGTGGTCATTAGTGAAGACTACCTGTAATTTAACCTCACCCTCCATTCAGTATAAGAATCTTGAAATATCAGTTCATCCACAGACGTAATCATTGGTGGGATTCAGCCAGTTCGCACCACTTCAGCAGAACTCAATAGCTAATTTTTTGTTGCCCAGGCCCAGAATGAACTTCTGGAAGCGGCATCCACACAGAGAACTGGTTGTTCACATATTTGAATCCCACCACTGGACTTAATCCTCTTTCTTTAGTTCTGGCAGTAGAGAAACAAAAAGTACTTCGTTTCAAGTATGAAACCAAACACGGCATTCTGAAAGTGCCATCAAACAAAAGTTGGAACCAATTGAGTTATTCGGTGCTTTTATCAATAAAGCAAAACTCAATTAGCATTTTGGCAATGAAAAAACAGCTGGGTCCTATTGAAAAAAATATCTAGCTCAGGGTTGAACTGTGAAGTTCTTGATGTTCTCTGAGCTTGATTGTTTGCTTGCAGATGCATTCATTAACCCACTAAGTAATAAATTACCTCATCATCAGTGTGAACAAGGAACAAACCACATCCCCACCAAAAGGTACATGGCAGGCTACTCTATATAAACAGGCAGCAAACATCACACCCACTTGAATTTCTAGTCTAGTGAACAGAAGGACTAGGGCTGACCATGATAGCAGTGTTCCAATATTTTGAGAGTCTGCCAGAAAAAAAAGAGGGTCAACCTGTTTTCCAAAACACTTGAAGGCAGTACAAGAAGCAATGGATGGAAGCTAATCAAGGAGAGAACCACCCTAGAAGTAAGGAGAAATTTCCTGACAATGAGAACAATTAACCAGTGGAACGGGTTGCCTTCAGAAATTGTGGGTGCTCCATCATGTTTTTAAGAAGAGATTGAACAGCCATTTGTCCAGAATGGTATAGGGTCTCTTGCTTGGGCAGTGGGTTGGACTAAAAGACCTCCAAGATCCCTTTCAACTCTATTATTCTATTCTGTTAATTAAGCAAGCAAACAACCAAGCTCAGTAAGCACCAAGGATTCCACAAACAATTATATATGTAAGCTAATTAGATATTCTAGTTTTATATTGACGTGTGAATATGATACAGCTCCATCCAAGCAGATGAACTCCAATACCACTTTCAGAAGTGCCAATGTTGCCTGCCTCAGTCTCCCACTTTTCATTTTTTTTTTCATATGAAAAAGACAAAGCAGTACAAAAATAGCAAGACACAAGTTGTGCCTATTCCAGAAAACTTTCCAGTACTTGTGCAATAAGTTGAAAGACCCAATCATACTAAAATAAGCCAACAGTAAAAAAAAAAAAAAAAAAAAAAACTAGAGGGTGGGAAAGAGAACTACACTGATAATGGCTTGGTTTAGATTTGCATGTATACTCTGTGCTTTTTTCCATCTAAAGGCATCCTAGATATCAATGCCAACAGAAAACAGGATGCACAGAATTCATATATGTCAGCCCTCCCAGGTAACCCAGATAGGAAACACAACTACATGAGTTAAGTCTACTGTAAGGCTAAATTAACAGAATCTTGCAAATCTGTCAGTACAAACTTCCTTCTGCCACTTTAGACTGCTTCATCC